AATTTAATAATAATTTTTTTTGTTAAAAATAAAAAATTTTAAATTTGAATCGTATAACATGAATGAAGTAAAAAAATAAAAAATAAAAAAATTATTTATCATTGTTGTGCAACCAATCATAAAAATATAATAATAATATATCCTATTATATCATGAGAAAACCTTCTTACCTTGGTGCGTTCCTTTTGACATGAATAGGCTCTAAACGCAAACTTTTTCCATCTCACCTAAGCTAACCAAAGCTCAAATTATTAAATAAATTGCAACGTATTTCTCCTCTATTTTTTTTTATGCAAAAATTATAAGTTAAATATTAAATTTGTGATTAAAAATACAAATAATTCTATTATATCAAATTGCATAATTAATCATACCTGATCTAAGCTAAATGTGTATAAATCATATACAACCCCGAATCTCTACTCTTAAAAAGTTGTAACTTGTTTTAAAAAAAATAAAAAACCAACATAACTAATCATTCTTTTCCCCACTATTGGCTAAGTAATTGCATGCCTGTATTTCAAGAATTGAAGTTTATTGGGGCATTATAATAGAAGTTGGAATTTTGTAAAAATTTAGATTAGTCAAATAACTTTATTTATATAAAGTAATTTTCAATAAATAATAGAAAGATAGTGAAGAAATAGCATAAATTAACCAAAATTAAAAAATTAAAAAATTAAAAAACTAAAAACAAAACAAAAATCAAAATCTAAAAATACAAGGCAGCCCCAATAACCAAACAGGCACTTAGAATGGCAGGAGCCTCATAGCCGGACCTTGAACCTGACTCGTCATTCACTGCCGGATTTTCTGCAGTCTCCGGTGACGGACTTGCCGGTACTGGACTTGGTGGGCTGCTGCTCGAAGGGAATATAGAAGGACTCTTAGTTGGTGTCGCAGAACTTGAGGGAACGCTAGCGGAACCCTCCGGTGTCTCTGCACTAGCTGGAACCTCTGCCACGGGAGGAGACACGACAGGGGACAATGATGGAGAACTCGCCGGAGGATTTAGCGGAGACAGTGTAGGAGAACTCTTCGGAGGATTAACCGGAGACAATGTAGGTGAACTTGCCGGAGGATTCACAGCCATTGTTGGAGGACTTGCCGGGGATGGAACAGGGGAACTCGCAGTAGACGGCGGAGTAGTCGGAGGTTGCACCGGTGGATGTGGGATTGTGGGAGTGGCCGCCGGTGGATGTGGGATTGTGGGAGTGGCCGCCGGAGGAGGTGACATCGCTGGAGAAATCTTCGGAGTCGCCACTGGTGGAGATGACGCTGAAGGTGGTTTCGCAGGAGACGCAACAGGAGGCGCCGTTGCCGAATTTGAGGGAGAACTCGCCGGAGAAGAGGCCGGAGACGAGGATTTTGGTTTTGGGGACGGGGCTGGTGCTGGTGCTGCATTGTCTGCTCGTACCAAACAGGAAACAGACGCGCACCACAACACGAAAATAGAAAGTACAACGAGTCTATTCATCTTCGACAAAAATGGGGGTTTTCCTCTGTTTCCCGATTCTCCGGCGGAGGGTTCTGAAATGTTTGATCTGGATATGATGATTTTTCTTGCCGGAGTAGGAGCGGGAGACGATGGATATATAAAGGGATGGAATTTTGAAATTAAAACGTTGCGATTTTCGGTGATTGGCTTTGAAGGGAAAGTCGACCGTTGGGGAAAACCGGAATAAGTAGCCGTTATTTGTCAGGATGTCATGTCAGTGGTTAGTGGGCATTAGTAAATGGGGTTTATTTTTTTAATGGAATAGGATTAAAGATGTATTTGTTATTATTATTTTTTGGGTTAATGTCATCTATCATCCTTTATTATCAAAAATAGTGTAATTTAAACCTTCTACTATTAATTGACTTTATGTCCTTCCTCTACTATTAATTAATTTCACCTACCCTCCCTCAACTATCCAAAAACATGCTAATGTCATCCGTCCATCATTAAATGCAACAGTCACACCAATTAGCTCTTTTTTTAATTCTTTTTTTGAAGTTCTTCTATTTGATTTTCTGTTTGGTTGCTTAGAAAGTCTGCGAAAAGAGAAATGGTTGATTTCTGATTTTTTTTTTTTTAATCGGCAAATTGATTTCTGAAATTGAAATATGAAGTGTTCTAATAATTGAGAATTATTTGAATTTTCTCAGTTCCCCTAAGGTGGAAAAAAATAGAACCTGTGCTTAAACCTTTGTGTCAAGAAGCGTCTCCGCCAACCTTTGGTGAGGTGAAATTCTTCTTCGAAAATTTCCAAATCTTCTTGTTGTGTTGCAGAAAATTGAATGGAATAATGTTCTTCGGTACTAAAATTGTTTGCTAATTGTTGAAAGTGGCCTTATAGACTTATGCAACTCTGTGACCCAAACAAAACCAATAGACGACAAAAAAAAAAAATAGCATTGCACCGTTTCATATCTCGATTACCACCGCCATCCAAGGCTAAGCTGTGCCTCATGTGTAGCTACGCCAGCCACATATATAATTCCACGACCACATTCTAAGTCCCTTTGCTACGTAGGAGGCGAAACCCACATCGTTTCCTTTCCATCCTTCATTGCTATCTCTGTCTCCTCCCTCACTACTCATCTTACCTCCACCTTTCACATCAACATGCCGTTTATGGTTAAGTATCAACTTCCTCATCACGACCTTGATGCCCTTATCTCTATCGCTAGCGAGGATGATCTCCAAATCATGCTAGAGGAACTCGAACGCCTTTCCACCTTGCCTGATCCTTCTCGCATTTGATTGTTCCTCTTCCCCGTCAAGCCCTGTTTGTTGGTTTGCATTGAGTCCAATCTGTTAGAGCCAGAGCAACCAGTCATGAAGCGGCGCGAGGGAAATGGAGGCATTCTTGGCTTGGGGCTGCCCGATGCTGAGTTGACTGGGACTGAGTTTAGTTAGGTCTAGTAGAGCAGGAGCGAGTTGAATCACCACATCAACCTCGCGATTATGCTAGGGGACCGTCGTTGCTCGTCGCCATCATCGACTCCGTCCAGACTCTCCTCTCGGTTGGCCCATAAAATCACAGTATTCGTCCGAATCTCTCGCGTTTGAGGCTTCCCTTGGCATCAACAATGGCTTTGCTATCGAGTGAAAGCCTTGGAGCCTCTCTTGAAAACTAACTGGTATGACCATTGCACTTAACGGTCAATAAACAGCACTGTTAGCTTACATCGGGCGAAGGGGTGGCATTGGCTTGTTTTTAGATAGTAGAGGGACGATAAGTGAAGTTAATTAATAGTAGAGGGAGTACATGAAGCCAATAAATAGTAAAAGGTTTAAATTGCACTATTATTTATAGTAGAGAGACGATAGATGGCATTAACCCCTATTTTTTTAATATTAATTACACATTAATTTATGCACCTACCCCTTAGTGATCTTAGTTTAGGTTCATTAAATTTTTAATATTTATTAGAGTTTCATCTGTTGTGATAATAGTTAAATTATTTTCATTTTCTCATATTTTTCCATGTTTAAAAATATATATACATTAATTTATATAAAAAATAAAAAATTAATATTAATTTTGATATATATGATATATAGAGATATTTTTATTAGATAATTATATGATATATATAGATATTTTTATTAGATAATTAATAAAATTAATATTAATTTTTAATTTTATTATGTGTATTAATAATAAAATAATAATAAATATACTTTTATCCT